GATATTTGGTACTCATAGAGAACTCTCAGTGCCAAATTACAGCCATTTTGATTGTAAAATGTGTCTAACAGAAAAAAATTACCTTAAATCGGGAGGTACGGTATGACATCAAAACGTGTGAGCCAAATTTTGGCGCCTATGTCAAGTGGTTCGCCACTTAATGAGTTTATAACCAATTTTTGGGTATTTACCCACGTCTTTAATGTATTGTAAAACTATCCATTCTAAATCGATTTGACAACAGAAACCCGGAAATAGGGTGTAAGATGTTGTATTATCGATTCAATAAAGTAAATACCCGCAAATGGGTATTTACCCACTCCTTGATTATTTACCCGGTAAATACCATATCTACACATATACAGTGCCGGTCCCGTAATTAGCACACATCTGAAGGGAAAAGTGTTTTAATTAACCCTCGAATCGTTTGGAATATTTTTAAATAGTTTTTTTTATTGAAAACGCTTATGTGTACTGTACTTGATCGATTGAGTGTGAGAACAGAAAATTATAACTGGGAATCTGTGATATATAGCGGTATTTATGAAACAAACCAAATTTGAGCGGGACACGTAATTGGCACATCTTGGATTTTTTAAATTAAATTTCGTTGATATTATAAAATATATACAGAAAAACAACTTTGTGTTAACAAATTAAGTCCGATGAATTATTTTTAAATGAAAACGTTTAACAAATTCTGTAAAATCAGCAAAATCTTAGCTTTGTGATATAGACTTATACTGGTCAACATACCCCTGAACCCATGGTCATTTAATTTAGACTGAAAGTTTTTCGATAGATTTTTTTGTTGTTCTACTCAAACAACTGATTTGATATATCAAATGTCATTACAAATTGATGTTTCCTCACATAATGCAAAAATATACTGGTTTTCTTCCTCGAAGACTTTCGAAGTCAAAGGTGTCCTTTAAGTGAATTTCTAACTTTTGAGTTGTTATTTCGATTTTTTGTTTATTTTTATAAATATTTATCGATCTCTAGTTATTCTTGCAATTTCTGGGTCATTCGCTTCTTTATTTTTATACAAAGGCTGACTTTCCCAATTTTAGGTTTGCAGTACGAATAGTAGCCAATTTAAATAGATTTTACAGATTTTTTTTTACTTTTTCCTCTGAAAATTATTCATCAGACTTAATTTGTTAACACATATTAGTTTTTGTATATATTTTTTTAATATCAACGAAATTTAATTTAAAAAATCCAAGATGTGCTAATTACATGTCCCCCTCAAATTTGACTTGTTTCATAAATACCGCTATAATCACAAATTTCCAGTGATAATTTTCTGTTCTCACACTCAATCGATCAAGTACAGTACACATAAGCGTTTTCAATAAAAAAAAAACTATTTAAAAATATTCCAAACGATTCGAGGGTTAATCAAAACACTTTTCCCTTCAGAGGTGTGCTAAATACGTGACCTGCACTGTACATGCCTGATGGATAAAGCCCATAAATGCTGAATAAGATATAATGTAGAGTGAAGTATAATTATTATTTCAATATTCTTTAAGCCAATTTGCTAGAAAATGTAAGAGATCCTATTCACACTTCGAACATTGTTAGAAATTGGTTGTCTAACCAACAATTTAAATTCGTGAGTACTTTTGAATATTAGTCTGGCAGTTTATGAAAGAGTTCCAACTAATATGGAGAGGAATGTAACAAAATCCCAGGTGAAATCTTAAAAAAATTGGTGGAGAGTATGCCAAATGTCTTAAAAAGAGCAAAGATTGTGGACAAAATATTAATAATCGCTTAATATTAGTTTGGGGAAAAAGAATTTTTTTTTTTTTGTATAAATGGTAAATATGCATTTTTTATATCAAAAATTCCTGAACGGAATCAACAAAACCAAAATTGAACATAACACTATGGTAAAAATAACAACTATGATAGAGACCTAGTACATCTTGTGCGCCTTGAAAAGCTGAGTAAAACTGCATTTTTAGAATTTTCAATACACCCTCAAAATCTGAGGCAATTTTTGCGCCATTGTTTGTTCAAGGACCTATTCTTGCAACTCATTCAAATAACAGCAAATTTAATTTCGCGTCGAATGAATTCTTATTGATTCCAATTAGTTAAAACTTTTTTTAGCGGAGATATTTCAGATTTTTTACAAAAACACAAAAAACGGTTTTTTGGTCATAACATCAGATTTTGAGGGTGTATTGAAAATTCTAAAAATGCAGTTTTACTCAGCTTTTAAGGCGCAAACGATGTACTACGTCTGTATAAAAGTTGCCCAAACTTTTGTCGATTTATATCAGTACAGCCATCTGCCGAAAAAAATAATGGATTTCTTTTTCCCCAACCTAATATATTCATTTTTTCTTATACGTGCAACAGTGTACGAATTGAGTTATTTTTAATTTTAATTATTTTTTAAAATATTGTATATAATTTTTTTATATTTAAAATGTTAAATAGTAAATAAGTAACCAACTAGAAACATTTACATATATTGACATCTAATTGATTAACGATTTTGAAAGTGTTGAAGGGAAGAACACACAACGAATAATGGGAAGAAATCTACGATTGGAATAAATTAATTCGCATTTTATTATTCCACTACATAATTGTGTGCCTTTTTATTTAATTTCGATATTTAATCTCTCCAAATTCTTAAAGTGGTCAATTATTTTATGATCCTCCTCCTTCATTTCGCTCTTCAAATCATGCAGACGATAAATTAGAAAGATAAAATATTTTTTGTAGCTTTATTATTGTACTTTCATATTTTGTTCTTGTTATTGTTCTTTCATATTTTTTTATTTTAGTTTTTCACTGTTAGGGCGAACATAATTGTATGATTTTATTTTGTTTTTCTCTTTAAAGTTGAGCTTAGTGATCGAAGTTCTGCAATGAAAATGAAAGCCAGAGATAGAATATACGCACCGCACCCACCATTATGCGACGCGTTTCGTTGTTAGTAAGGGGCTCATCAGGCATATTTAGATATGTGTTTTTTCCATAATTTTTAATATTTTTTCTGTAGACAGATCCTCACACAAAATGTTTTCATTCCCCCTCCAAATTGCATCAAACCCGGCTTAAATATACCTTATTACCTTTATACATTTCGAGGCAATGTTTAGTTGAGCATGCATCGTTATCAATAGGATTTCCGATGGTATTTTATGTTTTTGAGTTAAAAATATACATATGACCTTTTTTAATATTCAAAAATAGTCGTAGAATAACTATTATTGTGATAATTTTCATAAAAATTTTTAATACTTACATTTTTGTAGTCTGCTTCCTTTAAATTTGTTTGCGAAAATTTTCGCAGAAAAATGCCTTCACATTCTCCCACTCCCTGTAATTCAGAATAACTAATATTTCCCCAATTCGCATTTTTTCGCTTTTGAGCATGATTCAAAATAAGGGGAAAGTGGAAATGCGTCTATGCGAGAGTTGGTTCAGAATATCTTTAAAGGGAAGAGCGAACAACAAGAGCGATTCACGGTGAATTGATCCAGTCCAGAATATGACTTTTGTATACATTTTGTCAGTTTTTGAAAAAAAATCAATATTGGAACTTTTTTGGATTTCAAATAATTTAATCACTTGAAGAAAACGACTGTAATTTCATATCCAAAAGCGAAATGTGGATTGAAGGTTTAATGTTATAAAAATCTTAAATCTTTGGTGGGTAAACATTGTAGCTCAGCTGAAAACAAAATCTGTCCATTACTTGGGAAATTAACCAACTAGGTCGAACGGATATGATTAAAACTTTTATTTTGAGAATGTAGCGAGGAAACGACTAACTCAATTATTACAAATTGCATCTTCGGACCTGATCTGATTCGCCAATTCGTTGTTTTTATCCAGAAAGAAAGACGATTAACTATTTACATTTTCTTAAATCCTCGCTTTAGGATTTACCTTATTTGAAAACTTAAACACTACAGTATGTTTTTCAAATTTCTCGTCCGGCTTCATAGGGAGTAAATAAGATTGAACAATTAATGAAATACATGTGAATAATGCTATTACAACTGATTGAGCCATGTCAAGCCATTTTTTTTTTAAATATGCAACTGTTAGAATTATTCAAAGAATATTTAAAAAAATTAATTTTTAATCTATCAAATCCAATCAAATATACCAATACATTTACCACCCGCCACGAACATTTTTATTGATAGTATACTAGGAAATATCTGCAGTCGAACAGTGGATTTTTGGCCTACCCATATCTTACTTATCAATAAATATTTATCCACATTTTATAAAAATAATCAACTAATGACCCAACGCAACACTGAATGTATTTTTTAGAAATTGTACGTAGGAATTATAAGTCATCAAGCAAATACAACAGTAAGTTTGGAAGACCGGTCAAATACCTATCCTATATTTTATTCAAATCCTATGTTGATTAATTTAGTAGGGACAGCAAAGCCCCGCGGATTCAGCTAGTTACAATATATTATTGGTGTTGCGTAATATACCAAGCTTTTAAAAGTCAAAACTTTATTCATTCTCTCCAAATATTATTAAAAAGCATTAAGATATTACAGTAGAATTTTATAAATGGTGTACGAAATAAATTCGTAATAAATTGTCAATATCTCGATAATTCGTAAAGCACCAACCTCCTTCACTCATTTTTTACTATATTATATTTCAATGAAAAGTTTATTACAATTGTGATAAACATTATTTTATACCTACCCCCACGATGACTGACCTGCGGAAATAAAATGTATCAACATTTCCATGCAAAAAGCGTATATACAAAATTTCAAAACTTTAAAAAAAACTAATATATTTTTATTTTATACCCCATTTTAAGGAAATATTTCACATATTCAATTTTAAAGCCTAATGTTTAACTTACAATTAACATACAACTAATTATAGTTTAAAACTACTACTGATCTAATACTCTTAAACTAAAACAATTTTCTTGTCAAGAGGTTGAAATACGTAACTAAAATAACTAATATTTATAAGAGAGGTTATGTTACGTTTATGGCACCGCTTTCATTCGTTGTTGCATCCGGGGAAGTTTTTCTGCTGACATCGGTATCACCACTATTAATACTGTTGTGACTTGTGTCGGTAGTTTGAGTGGCAACTGAGGGCACTGAAGAACTTGTTCCATTGTCAACAGTAGTTGATATCAAATGCTGATTAAATTTATGTTGAAAGTGTTGAGAAAACGAGTTGTTAAATATGGCACTAGGTGATGGTGGTGGTAATGTCAGGGTGGATTGCATATGTTGTGTTGAATGGGTACGTTGGAAACTCATGGTTGTCGATTGTAAAATTTGACAATCTTTTTTTGCCGAAAGTGAATTATTTGCATTAAGGTTGCAGTTATTTATATCCGGAACATTGTCGTCATGTGTTCTTTTTGTAAGCTGGTTAATACTTAGAGGATTGTTTACATCTCTAGGATTTGCTCCTACTGGACTTCTTTGAAGGGGGACGTTTATAGAAGTGGTTTTGGTATTTATTATGTGGCATGATTCAGCTACAAGAGGTAACTTCGTTGAGGGAATTATTTCTGAAGGAGTAGATGCAATTACTTTATCAGAATCCGCATGGTGTACAGCATTTGTTGTAATGGAAGGTTGATTAATTGATCCATTTGATATGTTAGAATGAATTGATGTAGTAGCTGATGTGGGGCAAACATTTACATTCCCAACGTTATCAAAAACATTATATACTTTGTCGCTATTCATATTAGATGTTGCGCTTCCAACTGCATTGTTATTATTATTATTCATAGCAAGGCCCATAGCGAGATGACTTAAACGGTTTCCAAGTAACATTGCCGGGCTGCTTGTAAGAATAGAGCGCATCATACGGTCTGATAACGAAGCCGGTATTGTTGTGGACGTGGTTGAACAAGAGCTGGAACTTCCAGAGCTATACGAAGCGATAGACTTATTTGAGGGTGAGGAAGTCGCCGTAAGTGTTGATATAAGATTCGATATTGAACTCTGAGTGTTCCCTGCAATTTCATACACAGAATTTTGCGGCGGACATAAAGAAGACATAGAAATGGACGGTTGATAATGCTGGTGGATTTTACTTTGCTGCTGTAAATTCGAATTATTGTGATTTTGGTCACTAATAGCAATCAAGGAGTCGGAATTTTGAACAATAGAGGGGCTGGTCAAACTAGTTGGTGGACTTTGAAAACTGGAGAAACCACTGGGACTTGAGAGACTGTGATTTAATGACTCTTCGTCGTCGTAGGGCTTTCCATTATCATCAGCGCTATCACAACTACCAATATTGTCATTATCAATATCATCATCATCGCTACGTTGGCCGTCCATATCGTCTAAATCATATTGTTCCTCCCTTACACTGTTGCAGTTCATTCCAATAGACTCCATGTAGCGAATACACTTTTTCTTTCGCTTACAAGGCTTACACCATTGATTTTGCTGATCAAGCCCAAAACGTGCTCGACATTTTTTCATATTATTGCCTCCGGAATCAGCAGGCGAACGGTCTTTTTTTCTCTTTTTCTTTTTAGATACGTAACCGTAGTTATCCCTTGCACTCCACCCAGGGTATAATTCCATATGCAATTGCCTTTCTTGGCGTGCTTTTTCGTAATATTTGCTTTGTTCTTCTCTTGACAATTCGTGCCATCGCCTACCCAATATTTGGTTGATAGCAGCCGATTCTTTTAAAGTACATTCCGCAACAACTTTTGCTCTCATTTCCTTCATGTACAACATGAAAGCGTTTAAAGGTTTTTTAATATGCGGCTTCTTTTTTTCTGAACAGTTGTCTTTGCTGTTGTCATGAACTTGTGTGTTCTTAGAATTCTTGTTATCAACAGTTTTCGCAAAACGTGGATTTACATTATCACTGTTACTATCATGCTTCGACCCTGATGGTGCAATAGCGGGATGCGTTCCAAGCATATGATGCTGCGATGTGTGCACTGATGGTAAAATGTTTGGTGAAAATCGAAAAGAGAAGTCGCTGGACAACGTGGAATTGATAGGAAGGGAAGAAGGATATGGAGTTCTAAAACTGGAAGCAGCCGAGTATACAGACGGGGTATGCCAAGTCGCTACCTGCGACATATCAGGACTGATCATTGGATATGGGTACTGGCTAGATGGAAACGGGTAAATAGCCGGTCTTCCCAAGTTTATAGATTTTCCATCAATTTGATACGGCGGAATTCCACAATGTGCCGGTGGGGGTGTATTTAGGTGATCTCCATTGTGACTAAAAAAACATGGCAAACCTATTTTGTTTGTCATTGTAACAGGTAATGTTGCAGCAGATCCATTGGAATAAGGATAAGGAGATACCAAATAACCCATATTGTACGTGGATGTGTGCGGCTCAATTTTGTTGAAAACAGGGCTATGACCAGAAGGGGTTGATATTTTTCCACTTTTTTCCTCACTTTCCGTTAAATCAATTAAGCTAGACTTTTCTTCCAATAAATTTTCGGATGAAATCTTTTCATCCTCGCGATCACCCTCATCCTTGAAGACTTTAACCTCGTCCGTACTTCCTAAATCATCACCGGAAGAACTTGCATGTCGTGTATGACTTGTATGAGGCATGTCGGCGATTTTCTCCGATTGACTATTCTTGTTACAATTTAAACTAGTAATTATTTGAAATTCATATATAAATATGTATATATATATATTTATAAAATTGATTGCACGCGTTTTAACAAGGAATATATCGCTGCGTTATATTTCATATTCAATACACCTTTTTTATCTTACGGAAATATTATCATTTGATTTTGGTTGTAGTATATGCTTCCTTTCTATTTCTTAAAAGTATTTAGTGTATTGTTTCTTAATATTTTCTTTTAACAAATCCAAAATTTAACTGACTGAAATATTTTAAAATTGTCCATTACTTTATTCTTCTACAATATTTGCTTGCAAAAATAAGTATATACTTGATGCCTTATAAAAACTATGTTCATGTTTGTTTCTGATTATAAATTTGTACTTTATATAAATTTGATATTATTGCATGGATATATATTTGATGGGAAATTTTTCAATAATGTTTTTATTTTAGAAGACATCAAATATATACTTATTTCCTGCAAACAAATGTTTCAAAAATTTTTAATAAAATACCATTTGTGAGAGTTTTTCACTTTTAAATGCAGTGAGCCTAGTTTTGATACCAAAACAATTCGTACATAACATTTATTTAAAAATGAAATATTATCCACATTTACCTTAAGTCTTCACATAGATTACAGATTGGATCTGTGTATGTATTGTGTATTTAATGAAGACACAATTCACATAAAACTGATATTTAAGGAGCAGTGCGCATCGTCATTCGCCATGAAAAATAAAGCTTGCAACTGAAGTAACACCAAGCGCGTATATGATTATCTGCTATCAGGATATTCCAACCCCTGTTAAGATGTAGTCACAGACGAAAACGCGAAATACAAATTTATTCATTCACCATTATCGTCAAAAACCAACTCAGCAATATCCTAATAACATAAAAAGAAACAAAAAATAAAATTGAAAAAATATGAAAAGAAAAATAAAAATAAAAAACAAAAAATAAGTATTTCGTATACAACATTTATAAAGTACAATAAATATATATGTATTATATTTATTTACATGTAATTTGTTTATTTTTTAACAGTTTTCGTTTTGAAAATTTAATATTTATTTTACATTGTACTAGATGGATTATTTTTTACAATTTTTGATATTTTAATCATTTTTTCGACAAAATTATTTTTAAAACTTTATTTACTAAAATCGCTTAAAACGCGGTACCAAATTATAGGCATTCAGATTGGATACTTTTACTATGACATTGGACATAGCGAAAATGATTTAAATGTGTGCTTGATAGAAACGTGATTCGTAATGGTAAAATATAGTAACATGCTCCTATGACCACCAAATACCTATAGAGGGCCTGGCTATACCCAAAGATTGGTCTATATTTATATTTGGTAGAAAGATTTTATTTAAATTGTAAATCGGTTCAAAAATCTCGAAAATACCGAATCTTGGGGCATGCCGTTATATTTCTACTACACCAAAATGTATTCAGATATATCCCAATTTAAGTAACTAGTATTCTAACACTGTATGTGTAAAATTTCAGTGCGCTGTATTACCTCTATATTGATTTAAACAGAAAACCCGTGGTACATAACTAAATTGAATGGTCTATATTGCCAATTTTTTAAAATTTCTTTTCCTAAAAAATCGACTTTTTAGTATTGTTTTGTTGATGCGCGCAGAAGTTATGGAGGTTTCAATTTTGGGGATAAGAACAAATCTTAAAGTTACTCTGTTGATTATATTGAACTTTGTGGGGTTACTTCAAGAATTGTGGATACGGATATATTAATTATAATTATAAGAAAAATAATACAAATATGGAAGTTTACATCATAATTTTAATCAATTAACTTCAATTAAAATTGAAATTGAATTGAAAAATATTAACATAATCGAAACATGCCTTGTGCCGTTCGCGAACGTTCATTGAACGACTTACTATACGCCGTCGGACTCTGAACGATTTTTAGTTTATACATATCGCTGAAGCTATGACTTTAATCAACTAAACTGAACACCGCCAAACTCGTTAAACAATATATTTTTAGTTTATTTTGTAATTATATTATATTAAAGGTAATATAATATAATTAGAGGACAATCATCTACTTTAACTGGCTGTCATCTATTTCTATAATATGCCATCTTTAGCCATCTATATTTTTTAAACCTTGATCCATGGTATAATTATACAAGGTTGCAGCAAGTGTCTGACATTTTGTTGAGGGTAATACTAGTCAATTACATTCATATTCCATTACATCAGATAAGACTTGTCAATAAAATGCAAATAAATTGAAAATCAATAAACAACATTTGTTTTAATGAAAGGATCATTATAGCTAAAAGAATGAAGTCCAAGTTTTCTGAATTGAGTTTTGGTGTGTGACGCTAGTACAGTCGAGTACGCTTATAACGAACATTGTTTATATCGAGCACATTTCCTGGTCTCAAAGTTATAAAACCTATTTTTCATACAAATTATAGCTATTTTTTATAACAAACTATAAATTCAGTCAAAACATTCAGTTTTCATATATTATAAGTTGGATACAACGAACTTGCTACAAATACACCTTTATAAAAACACTTGCTGTTACCTTATGTTATTATACAATGATTATTGTTTATTGTACTTTTTCTATTTTTTTTTATTTTTATGTAAAATATGTAAAAATTGATGTCATCTATTTTTATTTCCAAGATCTTGTCAACTTATTAAAGGAGATCAAAATTATGATAAATAATTTATAAAAAGCCGTACATATTTTAATATTGAAGAAATTAAAATAAGTAAAATAAATGGCAAAAATATATATAAAAAAGAAAACGTTGGAAAAGAAAAATATAACAATGATTTTAATAAACATATTAAATTAATATTTATTTCATCGCTAACCAACTAAAATGGATATGGTGGGTAAAAAAATAAACTAAAACAAGTAAAAACATGGTTATATTTTACCCAGTCAAACTTTTTATACACTCCAACATGTAGTGTACTTTCTATGTCATTATAAATTGTCTGCTGCTTAAAACATTCAAAATGCCATAATGTATACCGTATAATTGGTACCGTATACGTTGGTGCAGTTTCTTTATACGGAATTAAAAATTATAACGGGGTATTATATAATAAAAAGGAATCCTTCGAATGCAAAGCTACATCGCATTTGTCACAAAGAAATTATGACTTTGTTCTACAATAAATACCAAGTATTTAGTTTTTTTATATATTTAAATAGGAGTACATATGTACATCTGTAGCACATATGTACATTTATGGGTTAAGTCCATTTTTTCTTATATTGAAATATGTAAAGGTTTGGGTTTGATTTGTTTCAAAAATATTGTTAAGTGCATTAATTTTATCTGTGGCTTTGTGCCCTTAAACATCATAGTTTATCGAAAACTAAGATTTTTATGAGGGTTTCTTGAGGATATTCGTGATATCCGTTTGGGGTCCATAGGGTTCCATGTTAGATCCCATTGCTTTTTATCACATTTATTAAAGATATTGCGAATTCAGTTTCAGCTGATAGTTGTAATCTATTCTTACATGCAGATGCATTTCTTTTGGAGTGGAGACCTTTTTGGATAGGAAAGCCTGGCTAACACAGAGTTGCAATCTATCTCAATGTGGATCTTCTCTAATCCTCTAATCCTAATTGGAATAAGACGGAAGCGGTTTTATTCAATAGCCCCTGCAATTCTTCTAAGCCTAATATTTGCGTTAGTTCCTTTGTCGTTCGAATTGTTAGCGAAATTAAGTGTTTGTGAGTAATTCTTGATTCCAAACTAAGCTTTGTGACTCATATTGACCTTCCACTGTGCGGCATATGATTTAAAGTTAGAAGACTTTGTAGTGTCCAAGCATATTTGCCTGGAGGTAATTTTTAGATCTATTTCTGGTCAAATTGTCATAATGTTTCACAATTTGTTGTTAAATTTCTTGGCCTATCCGTTGATAGGTATGTTGAACATCGTCTCCTTTTGTGTCATTATAGGATTATTAGGAATGTTAATTTGCCAATGTACAATAAGTTCGTATTATGTTGATCCGCTCGGAATCCTCAAATGTTGTAGCCCATATTTTCGTCCACAGTCTGTCGTTTGTTGTCTATGGGTCAACGAAACTGGTATTGTGGCTTTATACTTATTAACTATATTCATATTGAAAATCTGGGGACATTATATTCTTCAGACATCTCTCTTAGTGATATTCTAATCGTATAATCGCCATCAATTAGCTTTCCTATGATAACAGTATTTGCTAAATTCGTCAGAGTTGCATATGTTTTGACCCTGCTAATACCGAGTTATCCATTTTATCAATAATTTTTACAGCAAAATACCAAAAAAAATTTACAGTTTCAGTTGACCTATTTTTTAACTTGAAATAAAGAGATTACAAGATTTTTCCACATAGTCAATTTCATTTGCATATGTTATGACCACTACTATATATATATATATATATGGTTTCTAGTTTCGCTGTAATGTTCAAGAGGAAAATATAGTCATTTTTAATGTTTGATTTCCTTATGCTTCATTTCTCCTCTGATTTTCTTAACGGAAGTTTAGAAAAGTGCTGTGGATTCGGATTAAGTTTAAGGAATCGGATTACATTTTTTCGTTTGCATTAAAATTTGTTTTGTAGAACTACTATTGTGTATTCTGAACTTATTTTGATTATTCATTGTATGGATATTATTGTTATATTGTTAACATAAGATATTGGTCACGTTGGTTTTTTTTTATATTACATTGTACGAAATAAAAGAAATGAACATAAAGCCTTTCAAAAAATAAAATCATATGAAGATTAGCGCTGGGCTCATTTTAACAAAATATCGAGATGACGACAATATTTGGCGGAATTTCGGAATCGATATAGGGGGCGACCTCCCCTTTCGTAGGGATCGCGTACACACCATAATCCGCATTATGATGGAATATGAGAAGGGATAGAAAACCAGCTACAGAAATCTACTTCAACAGCCAGTTTGTTATTTCAAAATATAATTATAT